CCCCAAAACCCCAAAACCCCAAAACCCCAATTTTAAACTATTTTGTTGAGATTTTAGTGATTCAGTTTAAAATATGTCTAAATGTAGAGACAAGAATAGAAGCTCAGCTCAAACTTTAGAGCCTACTTCTCCCTCAACGTAAGTGAGCCAGGCTGTCCTTTTCCAGAAATTGGGACATTTGGTCCTTGTAGCACTGAGGTCTTAGCATTTTGAGATACAACCATTGATAGAATTCCTACTGTAACTAGGCAGAATCTTTATTGAGCCTCATACAGTTCTTGATTCATATTTGCCAAGCTACACGTAATGGCTAGCAAGCCTCTCCTGAAATGTTTGAACATGAAGTTTAGTCACCTCAAAAACCTACCCTTTATTGCTTGCTTTAGGGAATCATTTAAATTTTTGTGTAAGGCTAGAATGCAGGAATCAGGAGCATCGGTAATGTAATTAAATCATTAAGCATTACAAATGCTTGCCCAAGCATTCTGGATATTCTCATATGTAATAATAAGCTTATTTGAATCCTACTTTCGGCTTAGGCTTCTTCTAGTCTTGATTACTCATGATACAAACTTTCTGAGATGTCGGAGAATCAGACAAGAGATTGGAGCCCGACCACCCAGATGTTTATAAAAGCTAGTTTAAAGGTTACAGGCATTTTTGAGAGAAGTCTCAGCAAGATTAAGATAGACCCATCAGAGTTATTGTTATGAGCATAAATCTATTACCTGTTATTCCAAGTTTCATAGTAAATCTCGATGGTTACTTTTTACTCAGTATTTTGACAGAATATATAGTGGTTTTAATTCTCCCACATTGTTTCTGTGTTACTCCCAAAATGTAATCAATTTGGAAACCTAAACTCTTCAAAGTCTCACTCAGGCTATTTATAGATAGTTAAGCTTAGTTGCGGAGTTACTCGTTGATCAAAATATGTATGGTAGGCTCTAAATGTACCTTTAAGCTATCCGCATACAAGCACAAGACTGAACCAGCTCTCAGTCCTAATGGATCTGATCTCCCTCTGAAGAGTCAAAAATGTGCAATGGTATCCCCATACTATAACTTTGGTTCCTGACTATTCTTTAGCTGTATGGAAGGTCTAAAGGGTATTGCTAGTGCCCATTTTGCAGATCTGAACTTTGCATTATCAGAAGTGAGTAAGGAAGATCAGAATTCAGTCACTCAGCTTGTCAATAAGGTAGACAAAGTCTCCTTCAAAGTAGAGTTAGGTAATTTCTCAGGGTTAGAGCAATTTCATAAACATTTTCTAGTCAGGACCCCTGAAATGGAACAGAAATTGTAGCACCAGATGAAGATGAATAGAAGGGAAGCTATTGAAGAGAGACATCATGCCAAGTCAGGATACAGGATATATATGCGCTATAAGGTTTTATGGCAGATTTTTAGATTCAGTCTCTTTAGCCTCCATCTTGGTCCTAGAGGTTCGTCTTTCTAGTGATCTGATTTTGGTATAAAAACTAAGCTTGGTAGATGGAATTAAGCAACAAGACCTCTTCAAAGAAAATTAGTTTTAGCGGAGTTTTTATTTACTTTAAGGCACAGATTTAACAATCAAATAGCCAAACTAGAGCACTCATACTTTTATTCGAATAATGAGTCAGTATAGAATATTGAAGTCTTTGACAATAGCTCATATAAGGAATACAGATGCATACAAGACTTAGTCTTAATACTGGTACCTAGACTTCTAAATATTAAAAGCTATCGAATCTCTCTTTTCAATGAACTCCGAAATATTGTCTGCCTATGTTATATACAACATGGACTCGAGAGAATCTTAAGTCTGAGGCCTTCTGTGCTTATCCTCACCCCAAAACCTAGATGCATGAAGCAGGTAGGGGTAATCTCACTCACCAACCCCAAAGTTGGAAGAGGAGCCAGTGGCTGCTCTAGTGGTGTCGATTCGAGAACCCCATAATGCAGATACCTGATATGTAAGCTTGCAGCCTTGATAACTTATAGAGAAACTAAAGACCATGTGCTGCATGACCTTGAGAACACTTCTGAGAAGACAGAGAAAATATTGATCCATTAATTTGAGTACCTCCGCGGAGTCGAATGTCGAAGTGAGAATCCTACTAACAAAGAGAGATTCAAACACCCCCTCACGTCAAAAGGGTTTCGGCTCGATGACCCTCGGATCAGAGAGATCATCTATGTAGTAGATGAGCTAGGAGAGGACCAAGACATTGATTATGCAGTCTTCAAAGAGCTCCTGACCCTATATCCACCTTTTGTGGAAGAATTGTCCAAAATGACTTGTGCCTAAGGGATTATGAACAATCCCCAGAGGAAGCCAAGAAGGCCAATGAGAAGTTAGATCTGAAGATTTTTGAGGAACAATAGCTCAATATTTTTTAGAGTCTATTGAGCCCTCTGATAATGTATTCGCTGTTAGCTTATGAACCATTGATGGTCAAAGATTTGACTATGGCGATACACATTCAATGGTAGCCCTCTAGCAAATCTCCAGCGTTATTAGTTACTAAACCACTTGCAGCAGAATGGCAGAGATTCCATAGCAATGAAACTTGGAACTGAACCCAGTGCGAAATCCTTTGACAACATGAAGCTTATGAAGGGCAAGCCTCACGATCCATTGAACTTGGCAACTTGCTGTGCTGATCAGTGACCTACCAACAAAGATAAGTGATAGGAAGTATGAGAAATATTCCTCCATCGTCGAGCTGTTGATCGGTAGGAATAAGTTCTCATTTGACAAAGGACTATACCTGAAACAGAAGGAGAGAGCTCATAGAGACAACTGACTTCTGTATATGCTCTAGGAGGCTGGGGTCTCCATGAAATCCAATGTAAAAGAAACTTTGAACTTCTTCACTCAAACATCTGCGATTGAGATGTCTGTGAGTGGCTACTCAGTTCTTGAAGCTTCATTGAAGAATGGAGAGATCTACCCCTCAACAACGAGAATATATTTCATGACTCTGAAGCTGTAAAGGGAAACTTAGCCAAAATGCTGAGTTGAGGGATGAATACATTCTCTGATAAATGGGCCTTTGGGGTGAGTCTTCCAGCACAATCCTTCAAAATAGGGATGACCATTTTGGTCATCCCAAACCTGATGGAGATTGCAGTGTGGTTCCCAAAGTTAAACAAGGAAGAGAATAGCATCAAAGGCCAGGAATTTCTCAGTAGTCTGATAGAACACTTTTGGCTTTAATGACATTGATCATGTATATGTGGCTGGCTTAATGAAAAAAATGCTATCGAACCTCTCTTTGAAAGCTGGGAGGAACTCAGCCTATCTGCTTTATTAATAGACTTTGTTTATTTTGTTGTGTAAGGATATATTACACTTTTACTTTCTTGTGCTCAAAGTATAATGCTTAATGCTTGGCCAACCTATCATCGTCCCTCCGAGCTAAGCCCAGTGGGAAGGATGGGCTAGGCAGATGTCCAAGCTAGGTCCATTTCAGCAATTCCTGAAAAACTGGGGTTTTGGGGTTTTGGGGTTTTGGGGTTTTGGGG